TGACTTTTATGCTACTATATTTACTGAATTAAATTTAAAAAGTTCTCTTTGTTTTGCTGCTAGGTGAAATCTTACCTTATCTTAACAAAAGCTCTAGAAATAAGGAAAAGGTTTCTTAATCTTCTGGGATTTGTCAGCATATTTAAAAACTATGCTTTTTCGATATTTTGTCACAAATCCATCTGGAAAGGAAAAAAAACATGGTTATGTTACTGTAATGTCAAACAGTCAAATCTTACAACAGCATTGCTAATGTTACTTCTGGAGGACATGAGGTCAGATAAAATGGGTGTAATGCAGAATATGCTTTATTTTCAAAGTGCCTTCACTACTTCAAATTTAGAATTTTCATTACGTTTGTTTCTTTTATGTAAATGCAATGCTTTTAGTCTTTTAATAACAGATACCAGCAAGACATCCTGCAATCATAAACTTTGATTGTATTCTGTTGTTGTTAAAGTAACTCTAGAGTCCCATTTTTCATCCTGCTGGGATCACCTTGACTTGAAGTCTAGGTAAAACTGCAAAGCGATACCAAATTGTAAATGGTCAAACATCCTTCCAGGTTGTGTCAATGGGGATTACTGTTAAAGAGCATTCTACTGAACTAGATTTTATGGAAAGCTAATATAAAAACTAGATCATTTAAGTATTGTTTGCTGAAAGTCCAGGAGTTTGGAGAAGTTTTAATTAACCTCATTCTTATACTAATGCTGCAGTGTCATCAGCTGTGTCATTAAGCTTGTGGGTAATTGCAGTCATTGTTGTCTGCTCTTCTAGGATGTTTTTCATTAGTGTGCTTAAGGCACATTAAGAAAACTATTACTTTTCTTATTCATGTTTTTGTAATGGTTGGTGTGTTTATTTGGGTCTCTCATCACATTGAAAGTGTCCCTGAAGTATTGGGCATATTAGCTTGGAAGAAAGAAGGTTGACACAGTCTCTTATTTTAGTTAATTCACAGAATGCAAGACTGGAAATGACATAGTAGAAAAACATACAGGTTGATATCCATTTAAATGATCTAAATGGGCACATTTTTTAGTTAATGTTCGTCAAGAACACACACAGTACCATTTCTAAGTGTAGAATAGGTAAATTGACACGAGTGTTTGGGACTGATTTTAGCTGTGATGCCTGGAAACTGAAAATAATTTTCATAATAGCTGGAAAAATTCCAAAAGCTCATTAGTTTTGATAAGGAAATTGGGATGTACACTACTCTACTAATTTAACCTTACAATTTCAAAATTTGAGAAAATTGATCATCTTATACTGTACTTCAGTGGGTATATTGTACATACAGTAGTTTGAATAGTGTGTTGGGCCTCACCCTGATCTTGCCTTATTTGCCTTATTTTGTGATGAACATATGAGGGACAGAAAGATTTGATGTTTTAATCATATAAGAAAGTCAGTCTTACTCCTCCTCTGTTTATTAAATTACATTAAGATGTATAATTTAATGGTACTAGAAATCAGACATCTGCAAACTTTTGACCTCTCCAGCAAATCTCTTTACACAGGTTATTGTGTATGATACAGTACATAACTATGTTGTAACTCTCCAATCTTATTTCTTTGTGAATCTGAACTCTTTTTTTCTTTACCGTATTTATAGAACTGGTACTGTAAGATCCACTAGGTTGCATTTTGAATGTTTGTGCCAATATCATTCTATTGCATTGCTTATTTTGAATCAAACAATTATTTTTTAATTGAAAACGTATTCAGTTACACCGATACCCCTTTATTACAGCATAGAATGCCTCTTCAACTATTTTTAGCTGAGCTGGAATTCTGCCAATTAAAAGTAACACTCATGCATCTGGTCCTACTGCACTCAAAGTGACTTTGGAGTCTTTCATCGTATCTCTATCACAAACTTCTCCTTTAGAGCAGAAAGAGAAAACCAGACAAAATGACCCATATTTATCTTAGATTTTATGTCATTTGGAATAGCCTTCAGTTCTTTTGTGGAAGGCCAGTTAAATCCAGTTGCCTCCTTTTTTTCATATGATTCTGTTAGGTGATGGGTGTATAATGGACCTCATTCACACTTTAAATCCATCTATAGTCAGTGTATATCTGTATAAATAAAAGTAAAGTACAGTACCTATTTTCATATTGGTCTGCTATATTTGTAACATACTTTAGACACATTCAAATTCAGTCCACGATTATTTACTTGCTTTCCTATCGAATAATCAGTGAAGACTTCAGGCCTCTAACTGGAAGCTGCTGTAAACTGACAACTTACAACAACTTTAATTGTTTCCAGAAGCAATCATTTGAGATTTCCTTCCCTCTTTCAAAGATTTCAAAGACATCAGCCTCACATTAAGTCATTTTTATATAACGTCTCTTTGGAAGTCTTTTTCCAATCTGTATTAATTAGCAGTCTTTCCTTCCAGTAAAGTTTGCTGACCATATGTCTGAGTCTCATCAACCAGGAAGAACTAGACTTGAAGGATCATCAGCATTCCTTTGCTCTGATGTACTCTTTTATGTAATCCCTTCTAGTGCATGACACACTTCCTGTAATTATCCTGAAACCCGATGAGGTTTAAATGGGAATGAACATTTCCTGTAAGCAATAATAGCTGACAGCAAGGGAATTTCATGAAGCTTTCTCAAAAATAGATGAAACGTGGCAAAAAGGTGAAGGCATACCAGGGATGAAATATTTTAATTATGAAAAAAAAATGTTGAAGCCTTTCAGGATTTCTTTATTTCCTGGAGGAGATAGTGGCAGTAGTACTTTTTCCTGTTTTCCTGGTTTTGTGTGGTCTAATCAATTCTTGATTTCCATTGTTCCCTCAGGTTGCAGTGATTGTGCATATTGTTTTTAAGTATGGATAGATCATTGTTTTGTTGTTAGTTTTTTTTTCTAAATAGGCTTGGAAGATTATTATATTAATGACCTCACCATTTCCATAAATAAACTATAAATAAACTTTTTAACTCATAGCAAAGGAATGTACAGATACTGGAGTCTACAGCTTGTGCTCATTAGACAGATTTAGGGTTGAGTGACCTCAAAAGGAAACGTGAAAATAGAGGCTTTCTTCTTCTGTCTTCTATATCTAAAATGAGGTGCACAAGGGCAGGCGATCTATTAGTTTGATGCCTGTGGTGGAAAAGTGGTGTTGTTAGGTATGAAGGTAGTGCAGTCACTTGTAAAAAGGTTCACTGGTTATATGGTTTTAGCTCAAAGTACTGGAGCCTAACTGAGGTAAATTAAATTAGTCCCAAAAGAATTCTCCATTTCAGAAGAAAAGATTTATTGGAACTTGCTGATTTACATGTGACTTGTTCTTGTATCTCATTTTTATTCTGTGAAGTTTAATTTTTTTTTCTTCATCCTGAGCTGGCTTTTTCAAACTGGATTGCAACCACAGTGGGAGTCTAACTAGTTATTAAACTGCTCTGGATTGTTCAAGCATCTCAGAAAGTGTGACTCTAGCATTCCAAAGAGCTCATACAAACCCAGAATATGCAAGCCACTGATAATAAAAATACATGCTAGGAGAATTGTAGTAGTTCTTTGAGATTTATTATAACAAAATCATCTCAGCAGACTTTGTATTTCGTTTCCTTTGGCAGTATTTTGAGGTCCTGTATTATCCATCATTTCACATGAAAATACGTTTTTTTTATTTATTTAGATGTTTTATTACCTGATTCTACTTTTTTTTAAACTAATTTTGATCTTTTATAATAAATTTGAATAAAAGGATATTTTAAGCTATCGTCTGTGTTGTCTGGTCTTGTAGTTATTCAGTAATGTTCAGTTACAGTAGAATGCTGTAGTCAGAAACCATGTTGAAATTTTGACATCTACAGTATGAAATGAAAGCGGTTTGAATTGGAGGCAAGTGCTGGACTGGAGTTGATGAACTGAGCAACAATCAGTTTTCTTACAGTAGCAATATGTCAGATGATCTCGGCCGAAATGTGCCATTTTACAACAGATGCAGCTTTTTGTAGGCTCTGTATATGAAAGATTTTCTTTGTTCACTCTAAAATTTAGGATCTTTGACAGGACTGTATCTCAAAGGTAGGTTTCATGAATAATGGAAAACTCATCCTCTAACCTAAAGCAGCCTGAAGAGCCTGCTCTCAGGCTTGGATATTAGAGTTCTCAATCACGTCCGCTGAGGGCCAAGAGCTTCCAAACATAATTCCCATAGCAGAAATGTGTGTAGTGGAATTCTGCTTTATAAAAGCCTACCCTTTTGTGAAGCATTGCAAAGGTTAACCTTTGAAAAAAAATCCCAGCATTTTTCATTAATGCTCATTCTGTAATGTTTAAAAAGTTAGCAATAAATATGATTCTGAATGTATCATCCTCTAATGCCGTTTCACATTCCTTTTTAATGCGGCTTTATCTTCATCAGGGTAATGAGGTGTATCATTAATCTAAATTCCAATTTGTTTTCACTACAAGAAAATTAATTGATGTGCTATTATCCCAATTTGTGGATAGTGGGACATTTCCAGGAAATTATGGGCCCTGGGAGCTTTTGTTTATTATATGACATCGCCACCTTTGGAAGTGAGACAGATGAATTGACTGCCTTCTTCTCTCCATATTAACCCCAAGACACTAAGAACAGTGGAAAAACAAAGAGTTTTACTGGACATGGAAACTGAAGCTGCTCCACTGTAGTATACAGAATATTCTCACCCATAAGAACTAAGACCAAGAAATTGTTGCAGTAATGATGTTCAACTTCCACTGTCCCACAGCACATTTACAAACATCAAGTCCTTAGTAGCCAGCAATAGTTTACTTCTTAAATGTTTTTGGAATTGTGTGGGAGCACAAGTAGTGTAGCTTGTGTTTTAACTGCAATATTCTTTTTGTTACGCAGGACAACAGTTTATTCCAATCTGTATTTTAATAATCTCCTTGACATTCCTTCGGAGGTTTCAAGTGTTTTTGTTATTAATTTTTTTTTTTTTTGCTGATTATCTGTTCTTATCTTTCTTTGCAGGTCTGAATGTGAAAGCTCAAGAAGTGTCAGGTAGGTATTTAATTCATTGTCTTAATACGCTGTGACACTCCCTCTGGGCTGTAGCGCTTCAATTAACCCCCATGCTCTCAGTTTGGAAATAAGACGTCAGATTTTAATGAATCAGGTGGTATTATGCATTCTCATCTACATATTTGCTCTCCTTTTCATTTTTGATTATACATAATGTTATTAGTTTAATCGTGTGTGACGGAAGTGGTGCTATACGAATAATCGGTCAGGCAGCATATGGTAGAGAGCTGGTTAGAGGTTCAGCCTCATCACTCCAGGGTTCATTGGTTCAGTTCCTTCTGTCTGTGTGGAGTCTGCGTGTTTCCCGTTTTGTCTCTATGGATTAGTACTGCGCACTGCCGTTTCCTATCTCGCTCAGTTTCCTCCCATCTCCCAAAGACTTTTTGCTTTAGGGGTTCTTACTCACTACAAGCAGTAATGGCTATGTGATGACAGAGAAAAGTGAATTAGCAGGATGGGTTGAATAATCCAATTTCGGTGAGTTTTTTTTGTTTGTTTGTTTGTTTGTTTTTCTGATGCTTGACGTTATGGCTTTGTCTGCTCATAACTACATTTCAAAGTTTCCAAGTCAACATTGGTATTGGGGAGTAAAATACATGACAGGGGGCCATTCTAAGTATATCCCCCTTTTTATCTACCCAACACTGGATATTAGAAAGGCCATAATAATGATAGAAAAGAATATTGCAAAGGCAATAAAAATCATTTTTCAGCATTAGAACAACAAAAGGACAGTCAACAAATACATACAGTAACGTATCTCGGAGGTAAAATTCATAATGTTTGGGCAGAAGAAGGGAAATCGCTAATAAATGAACATTTCAGTTATGCGTTTGCAAGAAATAACTAGGGATTGCTCAGGCTGAGCAAAGCTAGAGTTTGATATTAAATAATATCTGTATAGAGCAGGCAGAAGTATCACAGGTATAAGAAGCACTTCTTTCATCATTATTGAAAACAAACAAGATGCTGTCCACAGACCATTACTAGAACTCGTCAAACTGTCACTCAGGACAGGGGTACTGTAATAAACACCGACTGGAAAACTGTTAATGTAACACCCATCCATGAAAAGGGTGACAAAACTGAACCAAGTCATTATTCTTCAGGTGTGAGAGTATCAACAGCTGAAACATTGTGTTTCTTCTTTCTACAGTTCTTTTCAACATGCACGTAACTTTTACTTGTTCCCTTGTTGAACTATGGCTTAAAGAATGTTCAGATGGAAAAGATTCTCAACATTAGATAGGTTCGTCCACAGCCAGCGCTTACATTTACAGCTCTCCACTCGAATATAGTTAAACGAATATGCCCAAACTTTGTATTTGCTTTAGAAAATTCCCCAAAAGCAACTGAGTTATACCATATAACTGTTTTTTTTTTCTCAACTACTGATTAAACGTCTCTGCATTGAGGCATAAACCATTTGTTTTTTCATTGTGTTATTTTTTTTTGGGGGGGGGGGTGTATTCCTTTGAGGATTTTTTAACTTCATTTAAAAAGAATATAAGAATTTTTAATTAAAGGAATTTTTTAAGAACATTAACATCAATGTAAAAAATCGTGCTGGAGGGGGACAGCGCTGAAAAAATTAAGAAAAGAAAAACAATCTAACTTTTCTAATTGTAATTTAAAAAAAAATGTTTTCAATTACATTTTATTGAAAACAGAAATTGTTTTTTTACATATCCATATACAGTTTATGAATTTCTAGAAAAGTATTGTTTATTCATATTGTTTGTATTCAGATAGATTAGAATTCATTTTGGAGTTCACTGAACTATGAGCTTCTGCTTTGTGTTGGACACATGCTACCAAAAAGAACCTGTCAGCAGTCTATTGAAATTGCTTTTGAAGGCCTAACTCAAGGTCTTGCTTACAGTATCTTTAAATCAGTCAGGTCTTGGCAAAGAATGTGTTGTGAAAATACAGTAAATGAAAATAAAAGTCTAGCATACTGATGAGGTAGCTTTCTTTTTCTTTTCTTGTGATTGATGTTCATTAAACTGTGGGCTTTTCTCATGGCCAATGCTGAGAACAACCTGTTTGTCATACTGGGAGATCTCAATCTAATTAATATATCTTGTGACCTTTTCCAGGATAGGTGCATACAAAATCAATGGCTATAAAGCAAAGCCAAGTTTAAGGGAATATTCGTAATTAGTTGTAGGACATTGTTCTAATACAATGCTGTATCAAACATTACAGATAAAATAGGCAAATGTTTGTGCAGTTAATGATAGATTATGATAAGAGAAACTGTAAGTTTTTATAAACAAAACATTTTGAGATCTTAATACTGATCTCAGTGCCATACAGGAAAAAATATTAGAGCACATTTACAATACAGTTGTACCAGTGAATGCTTATTCTAAGCAAAATCTTAATCCAGCAAACTGGAAATGCATATCAATTGTCTTTCACTGCTCAGTGCTAGGTTTTCCTTTGTCGTTCTGTTAAATCTTCAATAGACTATGGTTGTAGATGTACAGTAGCTGATAAAGAGCCCTGTCCTGACTTGGATGCTACTACAGTACATCAAAATTATTTAGAGATGTTAATACAAATGGTGTACAGGAAATGTACTTTACCGAGCTTCTATATACAGTACAGTACTTTAGTATCTGAGTAAGATTTTTCTGTGCATCAGAATACAAATGTTAGTTTCTGTTTTATGGTGTGGCCTGACAGGATTGTTCAGCTTTTATGCTTCTATTTTCGATTGGTTTCAGTTTGATTCTGGCTAAATCTTAAAGTACAAATTTTCAAATGAGTCGTTGAACAACCGATTCCTAATTTACAGTAGGCTAGTTAACCAGCCAAGTCTGGAGGTTGTTCTTTAGTTTTTACATGCTGTCCATTACAGTAGTGCAGTAGAGTACTATAAAAATAAATGTATTTTGTTTACAGGAAGTATTATAGTATTTTTTTAAATAATAATAAGTCCAATAATAATAATTTAATACGTTGCAGCAAAAATGCATTTTCATATATCCCAATAGTGTTTTATCCCAGTCAGATATTCTCAGATTTACTGGTAACTGAGCAGATGTTTTTTTCTGAGTTGTTTTTGTACTGAATCCAATATCTTCAGCTGAGAATTCTGCTGTTGTTTATCTTCTCTCCATCCAAGCTCTCCTAATGTTCTTTGCACAGTGCTTTATATAAAATGTTCAAGAAATCAATGAGAATGTGTGTTACCAATAAACTTGACACACTTTAAAAAGGTGAAAGACCATGGTGCTTTGACAGGCATAAGTTTAATTTGATTTTATACTGTACTATTTCAGGATTTAGGAGTGAAAAATAAGAGTCTTGAGTCTGAATAATTTGTTAAGGCAAATGTAGTTGTGTATTAAAAATAAAATAATTTAGTTTGCTTCAGAGTTGAGCTAAATATTTTGTGACATGATGAACTTTGAGAGGATAAGAGACTGTTAAGAGACTGTTATCTGCGGTGCAGGACATCATTCTGGAAGCTGCAGCTAGAAGATGAATGGACAATATTTGTGGTTTGTTAGAGCTGTCTGTATTTCAGAAGGAAAATTATTCATCATTCTCATTCTACCCTTTATTAAGTGAAAAATGTTTTTCATCTCCAACATCAATAATGTTTCAGTTTTCCTGAAGTGTCCCAGAACTATTTTGTAATGAAATATAAAAAGCTTTGCTCCCATAAACTCTATAAATATATTTAAAACACGCAATTATACTATCGTTCTGTCAATAAACTAACTAATATGAACGTTACAGAGGTGCCAGCTCGGGTAATCTATCTTATGTGCATTTTATTTGTTTTTCTCTCTATGTAACATTTCAAGAAGGAGTTTCTCACTGCTTGAGCAATTTAATTATCAATTCAAGAACAGCAATTCCATCTGTTCAACCAAGGTAGAAATTCTGATGTGAAATTCTGGGGTTAGATGAAGTGAAATTGCCTTCATAAAATGTTAGGGGTTTTTCCTTTATATATGGTACATGTCTACATCGATGTTAAAGTCACTAAAGGAAGTAAAGCTTAATGGGACTTAACCAATAAATATAATCTAAAATGCTAATGGGAAACTGGACAGAGAACTTCTACCTTATAAAGCTTTTTCTGTGCAGATTCACTTATTTTTACTGAGCTTCCCTGTTTACAGGTAACATCAGCTTTTGATTTTCAGTATGTGCACTATACATGCATACTGTATATGCACCTGTGTGACTAATACAAGTAATCCATAAAGATTGACCCCTGCTTCAAATAAATAGAAAATAATTTAGATTATATTTTCCTTCTAGTGTAAGTGACAAATCATTGTACTGATTCAGTCACAGAAATATACATAAACTCAGTGTACTAAACTCTAGATTCGTTTTGCACCCTCTGAGACAGTCCCTGTTTTTAATACCATGGCTATTTAAAAACGGTTTTGGAGTCTCTTCAAGGGCACATTTGCTCATTTTGGAGTTCTGACTGTCCTTGTTGTGTGGAGTGAGTTCCTTTGGGGACAATTTAGACAGGGCACATTAGCTGCTGACCCTGCTCATCTTCTTTTCATTGCTACCTGAAAGACAGGGCTATGACTGCAAAGCCATTCCCTCTTCATCATTTGGGCTGCTTGCAGAGCAGGGCTGATATACCTCCGGGGCTTCAACTCTTTGTGTTTTCTTTTGGCAATCAGAAGGCAGACACCGCTACTGTATGCGCTAGCCTGAAAAAAAAACCCCACCAAAATCAATATACACCGAATACTAAGTGTGCTAATATGATGGTGTTGCGATTAATGCATTTTTGGGCGATGTCGAAATTGAGTAGAAACCAGGGGCTGTACATGTGGATCAGCAGCTAGGGTAGAACAGTAGAACAGCTGTCCTGGACAAATACTGTTTATACCCCAATCGTAAAGCTCTCTCTGTGCACAGCACAGTGTGCTATTAAATCTTAGTGAACCAGGAAGGCCTGTAGTGTGTTAATGTTAATGTGCTGGCTTCAA